CTTTTAAATGTTTGGCTCACGGTTGATGGAAAGATTAGGAGGTGTGGCCATTGTTGGAGGAAGTGGGTTTACTGGGGGTGGGTTTTGAGAATTTCAAAACCCCATGCCGTGTGCAGTCTCCCTCTGTCTTTCTGCCTCCTGCCTGTGGGTCAGAATGTAAACTCCCAGCTACACTCCAGCACTATGCCTGCCTGCCACCGAGCCCTCCACCACACGAGTATAGACTGACTCGCTGGAGCTAAGCAAGCGCCGAATGAGATGCTTTCGTTTATGAGTTGTCTTGGTCTTGGTGTCTCTTCACAGCAATAGACAAGTTGTAAATGACACAAGGCCTTTGTGCTCATAGGTAAGCACCAGGATAAACAGGAATGTCAAGCACACACGCCTGTCTCTGAGTGGAAGGGCTGCATATAGCTGCTTTCCACCAGGAGACCAGGAGTGGATGCAGTTAATAGCCTGGTTGTCTGTGCTATATGTAGGGCTAGGCCACATCTGAATCCCCCAGACTATTATGCTCATCCCAGACCCTTCCTCCTAGAACTTTATCTTTGTTTCTCAATCAATAGTACCCAACTTAGGGGAGATGTCACATGCACTTTATGAAGGTCTGGTGACCTCTACCCTATCTGTGTGGCTGAGGCCACACTACATTCTAGGCCCTTAAGCTATAGAACCCAACTTCATGGTAGAGGTCACATGTACATAGCCAAAGTTTCAGTGTAGTCATGCCTCAAGCTTTGTTGTGATAACTGTCATGAGAAAACTTTTTCCCGAAGTTGTATTGTGTAGGAGAAACTGTGGTCAGCCTACCCAAACCAAAGTCCGTCCATCCCATCACCACCCCCACCCCTACCCGGTGCCCAGGCCAGCCAGCCAGCATGAGCATGCACATGCGCAGCAGCAGTCACTTCCTCCCTGAGCCAAGCCTGCCTCTACGCCCAGAGACTGCTAACAAAGGGAGAGACACTGACTCAGAGACACCAATGAAGAAAAGACAATGCAGCAGAGTCAGCACCTGAGCCAATGGGACCTTGGGAGGGGGTATAAGGGCAGGTCTAACTTCCTTAATAAACGAGTCTGCAGCACGCTCTGCTACTCACTGACTCTCAGTACCTTAGTTGTTGGTGCTGCGTCTTCTCACCCCCCCCCCCCAAGGGGTATCTGAGCAGGGTAACCTGCAACAGTACTGTATTTACATATGTCAAAGAAAACCTGCCCGCTGTCAGGCTTTAGAAGGGTGAATCAACACCAGCTAAGTAAGTCCTGCTAGATTGGATTTCCTTCTTGCCTCACACAGATGCTACTCTACCAGCATTTGCAGGGACACTCACTAGAAGTAACTAATGCAGTAGTCAGCTATTATCAACAATGCTGCAGTAACATGGTTCTCTTTCTATCTTTAGATACTTGTTTGTTTGTTTCCATGGTTTAAATCAGTGGTTCTCAACCTGTGAGCCACGACTCTTTGGGAGGTCAAAGAACACTTTCACATGGGTCACATATCAGGTCCCCTGCATATTCAATACTTACATTATGATTCATAACAGTAGCAAAATTGCAGTTATGAAGTAGCAACAAAGTAATTTTATGGTTGGGGGTCGCCACAACGTGAGGAACTGTATTAAAGGGTTGTAGCATTAGGAGGTGGAGAATGGTTTAGATACTCTGTTTTTTGGACCCTCCTAGTTTAATTAGGGGTTGCTTGCTTGAGCACACTGGGGGAAATTTATTGGAGTATTGAACAGTGGATACACCAGTGAGGAAAATGACTCCGTCTTCCCCAGCAACCATTCCTCACCAATAGCTCCTCAAGAGGAGCCTTTTGGGTCTCTCCTCATTCAAGATGGATTGTCGAGATGCTCCATCTCGTGCACGTCTTGTGACAGTAACTTGAGCCACTGTAACTTCATGAGTATAATGGTCATGTCATGTCAAGAAGACCACAATTCATGGCGTTCTTGCTTATCCTTCAGCTCTTACAATCTGCTCCCTCCTCTGAAATGCTCACAAGTTGGGGAGGGTGGCGGTGATGTCTCATTCAGAACTCAGCACTCAAAAATCGTGTGTTCTCAGAACTTCGTCCAGATACAAGAATGCATGAACCAGTGTCTACTGCAAAGAGAAGCTATGCTGACCACACAGGAAGAACTGCTCTAGGGGCATAAACATCCATATTCACAAAACAGCTTGACACTAGGTCCATTTAGAAAAAGAACAGTAATAGGTTCTCTGCTCCCTGAAGATTATGATCTCCCAGCCATAAGATTTTTGACCAGATTTATACTGCAAAGCATGAATCCCCTCCTATAGAACAGGCCTCAGATGCAGTCAGAAAGTGGTTGGCAACAATGCAGGATTCACAGCTGGGTAAAACTCCCCCCCCCCAGGAGTTTGCATAATACATTCTAGTATTATGAACACTACCCAATAAGGAGGAAGATATGGTTGTGGGCTATTAGCTTAAGATGTGTTACATTTGTTTATGTTGTGAAGTATTGTTTAATGATGCAAAGATGTATTGCATTCTTTTATGTTGCATTTGTTTGACTCTGTAAAGCTGCGTTACTTCTCCTGTCTAAAACACCTGGTTTAATAAGGAGCTGAGCAGTCAGTAGCTAGGCAGGAGAGAGAAACAGGTGTGACTGCTAGGCAGAGAGAATAAATAGGAGGAGAAATATAGACTTGAGAGAGGAGTGGGGAGCAAGAAAAGGAGAGGAGGATGCCAGGGGCCAGCCACCCAGCCAGTCATGGAGTGTTTTATTTGTCTCCAACAATGCTAACTTTTTGCTGGTCTCCGAGGTTCAGCAGGCAGATGTGGTGGATACACAATATTCTTCTTCTGTCTTCAAGAAATGTCAAGAGAAGCACTTGTGTGGGTACATGATTGAGATAAAACTCACAGTGTCTGTGTTGTTCAGATTCTTAGGTTAGGTACCCACAGAACACACAACTTTCACAGCCATGTCTGGTGCTGCTGCGCTCTCTCTCTCTCTCTCTCTCTCTCTCTCTCTCTCTCTCTCTCTCTCTCTCTCTCTCTCTCTCTCTCTCTCTCAGTTGACAGATACCAAAGCATTGTCCTGACACACAACACACACTATGGCAATGCATGTATTCAAAAGATGATTGTTAAATAAAACTGACAGAGTCTGAATAGTGTCTTAAGCAACACAGTGATTGAGAAACTTTACATTCCAGCCTGTGCTGTGGCAAGCTATCTAAGACTCAAGGAATGACTCATAATAGTAGGTAGCACAACTTCAGAGGTGTCAAGTTCAGACACTTTAAAATCAGGAATGAGAATTCATAAAAACTTAAAGACGTCCCTGAGGCCTATAATCAATCTACAGGAGCTTAGGAAACTAATTATTTTTTAACGCATCCTTTACTTTTTAGTTCCAGCCATCTTTTCTTGGTAATGGCAGTTTGCAGAAAGTTTAGCCTCCTCAGAGATTTCATGGCACAAGTGTGAATACATTCAGTTTCAGATGGTGAGCTTCCAATAGATAAAGACTTTGTGAAACGTATTTTCCCAACAGTGTAAAAAAAAAAAACTGTTGTTAATTACTAGTTCAGAGAATACTATATATCTTTTCCTAATATGCAAATTAACCTCAGCAAAAATAGTAAATTTATATTTCTGGATAACTGAGTCATCTTTTATTAGAATATTAGGCATTTTTTTCATTTACTCAACCAGATAGGTTATGTTTACCCGGTTATGCCCTTTGGACTTAGTATATTTACTTTTTTCTTTTCTTTTCCTGTTTTAAGTCAGGCTCAATGTTCCCTTGCGACCGCTCCCCTCGTGGCTTTGGAAATAAAGCAAGCCAGACTTGTTGCTGCCCCAGGTCAGACAGTATTAGAGACCTGCCTACTGAGCTTTTCTTTGCTCTCATTTCATTTTAGGGTTATTATAATACAATAACCAAGAACAAGGGAGCACAAAGAAGCTCAACTAGGTGGGTTCTTTTGCTGCTTTGTTTTTAAGTCAAGGTCTCCGTGAAGCTCTAGTTGGCTTACACTGGCCTTGAACCTGGAATGCTCTTCCTTCTGCCTTTTACTTAGTGCTCGGATTACAGGCCTGAGCTGCCTTGGCGGTCTGGTTTATAAATTCACTTATAAAGTACTGGAGATAAGGGTTTAGAGCACAGTCTGCTAATCTTCCACACTCTTTCCAAATTAAAGCTCCTTCAAATCCATTGTAACAAATAACAACAGCCAACCCCTGTATCTTTAATATATGAACTATACATCTGAGTCGACAGTAAGAGAAGGTCCACAATGAGCGCGATGGAGCTTTGTTTTCAGATTGGCCCGCGGGATCTGGATTACAATTCGAGACACACTTTGGAGAACAAAACGCATTTCTAACGGGACCCCTCAGTGACTACTACCGATAAAATAAGTGTGTCTTTACTTTGCTAAATAGAAAGCGGTGTTAACGAAACTTCATGATGAACTTGAGAAACTAAAAGCCAACTCGTTCCAATGTCAAATCACCTCAGCCGACCCGAAAGCGCTTGGCGTCGTCCTTCGCTTTGCCAGAAGGCGGCTCCGAGAAGAAACGGACGAAATCTAAGGACGCCAGAGTGCAGACGTTCATGGTAATAACTACAGGGAAACGTCTGAAGATCCTGAGCAAAGACTCACAGACGCGGATGAAGGGTTACGAGGTTGTTTTATTAGACCTGGAAGACTTGCCGGAGACGGACTAGTCGATTTGAACTTCTGAACGCAGAAGCAGAAGCCCTGCCGCAGGAACTCTGGGAATTGTAGTCGCGAAACCGCGGTGGACTCAACTGTGTTTTGTACTCGGTGGACGGCGAGCCCTTGAGTTCAATTCAGTGTTCTGAGTTCTCATTAGTCCAGGCGGGTTGACCAATGAGAGGTTGGATTTGGAAACATCCCTTCGCTGATTGGGTGTCCTTCCTCACGTTGGCCTCAGTCTCAGCCAATAGGACTATAAAGTCAGCAGAGGTGACAGGGTCACCGCGGAGCCTGCAGAACCTCCTCCGCCGGCGACCGAAGTCTGTGCTTTTGAGTCAGGCCGCGGCTCTGAGTCGCCGCGCCGCTGGTCGTGTGCCGTCGTGGGTGCGGCTCTGATGCTGCGGCTGGCCCCGGACGTCCGGAGCTCTGGAGGGTACGTGAGCCGGGGGCACGCTGGGGCCGGGAGGTGGCCGCGGGACCGCGGGCCTGCCGCGGCGCCCGCCTCCGGCCAGCATCCCGCGGGACGTCCCTGCAAGCCCGGGACGCTCGCTCTTCTCCCCGCTTCCGACTTCGACCAGCCAGCCTGCCCTGCGGGTGGCGGGTGGCGGGTGTCGTCCGCCTCTTTGCTTTTGCTTCATCTCCCGGCGTTCTTTCTGTAAATCCCGCACACTGAGAGATTGAGCGCGCTGGCCTTCGTTCAAGAGAAACCCGTGTCCACAGGTGGTGGGCGTTTGCGCAGTTCGCGGCTCCCTCCGTGATACTCTCTCCCCAGCGCTTGCAGTGCAAGTCCCCGCGTGGGTCAGTCCTGGGCTTGCCGGATTGCTCGAAATTTTTACTGTCCTGCGTTCTTAGTTTCTTTCAAACTTGAAACCCGCTCAAGACCGTTATGTGAAGAAGCTGAGGCTTGGAGGAGGTAACTCAATTCCCAGAGAGTTACTGTTAATCTCAGGGAGAAGCCAGATCGGATCTCAGTGTTTGGTGGTGGTGGTTGCTTTTCAACCTCACTTAATTCATTAAGGACTTTTAGGCTAAGTATGTGCCCGCCTCAGCTGTTAGCACGTGAGCGCTTAATACTTTGTGAGAATTAATGGTGATTTTTGGCTGAAAGGAAAGAACTTTTCCGACATCTGCCCAGATATAGATGTCTAACATGCTCCGTCCTCCTAAAGACTGCCTGCCTGACAGCGGCGTAGTCCTCATCTGCAAGCTGCTCAGGTTTCTCAGATTCCCAGATCCCATTGCGCCCACTGAGCTTGAACTTGCTTTTTTAAAACAAGTTTCCTTAGGTGATCGCAGTGCGGTGTAAAAGTTTGAGAAGGATTGTGTTTGTCCATATAGAACCAAGGAACAGAAAATAAGGCTGGGTCGTGGTGGACGTGTGCCTTTAATTCCAGCATTTGGGAGGTCGTGGCAAGCACATCATTGTTAGTTCCAGGCCAGCCTGGTCTACATAGGTCTACCAGGGCTAAGTAAGGAAAAGAAAAGCCTTCCAAGACTGAGATACAGAAAGACAAGGACAAAGTTTTTCAGTTTTGTCATTTGCAAGAGTGAGTTTTCTTTTTCAAAAAGAAAAAAGAAAAAGAAATATGCCCCTCGACAATTTTAACCTAGCAGCCCCAAATCTTAAAATAGACATCAGTAGTTAAGGTGTTTCAAAATGCTCTTGTGCTGGCTTTAAAGGTAAAAGAGCAAACTAGGACAAAAGAAATGTTAACTTACTGCTGACGGTTAGAACCTTTCGCTTATTCACACACGCTTTGCCGCATTCTAGCCGTCCTGTGTAAGGCCTACCCCTCAGTCTTCTTTTTGCCAAGAAGGCCTTCCGGTTAGTTTCTTTTCCAGTTTATCCATTTGGTAATTTGATAAGAAAGCTGAAACAAACTGCCAGATTCATGGTATCTGATTGCTCAATAATTAGTTTTCATTGTTTTCTTTAAAAAAATCATTTTCTGTTACTGAGTGTTTTGCCTGCATATGTGTCTGTGCGCCATGTGCTCGCCTGGTACCAGAAGAGGGCATCAGATCTTCTAGGACTGACTCTGCAGTTGGAAGCGGCTGTCTGGGTGCTGGGAACTGAACCTGGACTTCAGATCAGCCAGTGTTCCTAACTACTGAGCCATCTCTCCAGCCCACCTTAGTGCTCTTCTCAGAGGACTGCTTACATGCCAGCATAAAGTTTCACGCTCCTGTTTGTATCAGAAATCATTTGATGAGCCTTCAAAAATGCCTATTGATGTTTTGGATAAGTCTAAAGAAATTGTATTTATTGTGGCTGTCCACGTCCGTGCTTCCTGACATTAATGCTTTGGATGAAAATATAACTAGCAAACATATGAACAAACGTAATTGTATTTGAGCCTAATGCGGTATTCAGTATAGAAAGTAAGGGATTTTGTTTGTTTTAATTTTCATTGTGGTCATTATCTACTATAAATTTGCTCAGATCAGCATTTTAGGTTATTTTAGATTATCCTTCTTTGTGGGTGCTGTGTACTCTCTCTCTCTCTCTCTCTCTCTCTCTCTCTCTCTCTCTGTGTGAGTGTGTGTGTGTGTGTGTGTGTGTGTGTGTGTGTGTGTAGGTTGGAGGTTAACTTTTGAGTATCTTCCTCCATCTCTTAACACCTTAGTTTTTGAAAGCAGGGTCTTTGCTGAACCTAGAGGCTCTTTGGTTTGGCTAAGTTGTCCAACTTGTGTGTTCCAGGGCTCTCTACAGCTCCAGCACTGGAATTACAGCTGTGTGACACTGTGCTTGCTTTTTTGTTTGTTTTACACTGGTTTTTGGGACTCAAATGCAGGCCCTTGTGCTTGCTCATTCAGCTCTTTACCCACTGAGCCATCTCCCTAACTGCGTGTGTGTGTGTGTGTGTGTGTGTGTGTGTGTGTGTGTGTGTGTGTGTATGTATGTGTGTGTGTGAGAGAGAGAGAGACCTCAAGTGGGTGTGTGCATCTGTGCATAAGGATGCATGTACGTGTCTGTGCACATCCTGGATACCACAGATCGATATCGGGTGTCTTGTCAGTCTCCTCCACTTTAGTCTTGGTGACAGGGTGTATCACTGAAACTCCATGGATCACCTGTCTCCACCTTCTCCAGCTAGGACTAGTGCATGCACCACTTCACCCAGCTTCTGCGTTGGTGTTTGAAATGCAGACTCAGCTTTCATGCTTGCACAGCAGACATTTGTCAACTGAACTCTCTCTCCAGCCCTGAAATTATTTTTGGTGTGCTACAAATGAATTAAAAGTTTTTTGCACTAGCATACAAAGTAATAGATTTCATGATGGCATTTCCATTGTATGTTGGCTCTCATTCATTCTCTTCCTCTGTTTATTTTGAGGTCTGTTAAGTCTGGAATAAAAGAAGTTTGGAGTGGATCCTGCAGTAATCATTTATAAGTATTTGTCCAGCTTGTGAAGGCAAATGTCTCCATCAGACAATTTAAGTTAGCTTAAAAGTTAAAAAAAAACTACAACATATATTCAGCAAATAAGTTAGGCTTAAAGTTCTAATTTTAGAAAGACTTATTTTTATTATATATGTGTGGGTATGTACACATGAGTACAAGTCCCTGTGGAGGACAGAAGAGGGTCAGATAGCCTGGAACTGGTGTTACAGGTAGTTGTGAGCTACCGAACATGGATGCGTTCCTAACCACTCAGCCATCTCCTCATCCCCAAAGTCTAACTTAAGCCAGACAGTGGCAAGCACATGTAATCCTATCCCTCCAGAAGTAGAGAGGGGAGTGTCTCTTTCCTCCTTCCTTCTCTTTCTCCTCTTCCTCCTCCTCTTCCTGTTTTCCTTTCTCTGTATGTGTATGTGCAAGTTCTCTTTATCCCCAGGCTTGTTTCCATCTTCCATCCCCCAGCATAACTTATAAAATCATCTGTTTTGACAGGCATGGTTGTGTACTAATGTCATGGTAGCACTTGGGGCTTTAGCAAGAGGGTTCCTACAAGTTTGAGCCTAGCTTGGGCTGTTGAGTGAGACCTTCCCTTTTTTTTTTTTTTTTTTTTTTTTTTTGGTTTTTTACGAGACAGGGTTTCTCTGTATTGTTTTGGAGGCTATCGGTCCAGCCCGACCTCGAACTCACAGAGATTCGCCTGCCTCTGCCTCCCGAGTGCTGGGATTAAAGGCGTGCGCCACCACCGCCCGGTTGAGACCTTCTCTTAAAAATAAAATTAAGATAAAGAAAAAATTGCTTCTGTGAACTCAGCAGTCTAAAGAAACACTGATTATTTAAAAAGATTCAGGCAACATAGTTAGAAAGGGCTGTGTGTAACCTGATGCCATCAAGATATTAAAATAAAATGAACTTTTGACATTGAAGTTTTATATAAAACCTGTAATTTGGAGGGCAAATCGGAGCTCCAGCCTGCTTTTCTTGCCTCCTTTAAAAGTTGTAGTTGCCATGCAGTTGAGTGTAGATCTGCTTGATGCAGTGGAGTTCCTGTCCCTGCCTGATATCCCTGACTCTCCTAGATAGACCCTAGTTTGAACTCTTCTCAGTAGGGTATGAGGATCGGAAGTTTTAAGATATTTTGACTTAAGACCGTTCCAAAGGATCAGGAAGATTATATATGACATTTAAGGGATAATCTCATTGAGTCATTATCCAAAGGATGGCAGACTCTGTAGTCTCACGGAAGGCCTGGGTTCTGTGAAAAAGCCACTGTATGTAGTGTTTTTTTTTTTTTTGTTGTTGTTGTTAGTGGTGCGTGCGTGCGTGTTAACATGCATTTATTACTGTATGCAGGTTTATGTGTATATTGACACATGTCACACTGTGCTGAGGGTGGAAGTCAGAGGACAAGATATGGAGTAGGTTCTTTGTCCCACTGTTTGGTTTTCAGAGAGGGAACTTAGTTTCCAAATTTGGCAGCAAGTGCCTGTACCTACTGAGCATCTTATTGATCTGTGGTTTTGTTTCTGTTTTTGTTTTTTGACAACAGTATCTCATGTAGCAAAGACTGATCTCAAACTTGCTATCTATCTGAGGATGACTTTGAACTGTCCCTTCCTGACTCTCGACTCTCTCAAGTGCAGGGATGGCAGGCATGTACCACCATGCATGGCTGAGTTCTTAGTTCTTCCTCCAGGTTGGGTGACACGTGGGCCATTGACAGTAAAACCCTGTGGGTACGCTGTCTTCATAAGCAGGGGTGTTTGATGCTGATGGAAGATCCAAGTGACCACAAACCTTGTAGTCTTATCCATCTTCTCAGCCCAGTGTCGTCTTTTATCCTGACTTTTAGAGTGCTATAACCATAGTATTTTGATTCTAAGGTAATTACTTGACAATGGTTATGTTGTTACAAAGTCTTCTTTTCCTTGAGTTCTTTGTGTCTGCTTAGAGATTAAAATTATTAATGTATTTTTTCTTCTCAATATGGTATGAGTTAAAGATCATTGCTGGTTTTTAATAATATTGCTAAGTAGTTACTTTAACACTATTTACTGAATAATCTTATTGTTTTTCTTTTTCATCATGTAACTGATAACTACCTTTTATTGAACATGTATGATGTGGAAGGCATAGACAAAAGTTGTTTGTATACATTGTCATTTCATTATACTGTAGGATGTTTTGTAGCTTGTGTTGTCAACTTCATTTTACAGCTGTGGACATTGATACAGAGTATAAGGGGTTTCCCTGAAATTCCAGCTTTTTAAAAAGGATTTAATTAGTGTGCATGTCTGTGTGAGTGTATGGCACTTGTGGGTGGGTGCTTTCCTAGGCCAGGAGAGGCCCTGGATGCTCTGGGGCTGAGATTCCTTGCTGTTAGGAACTCCTGGTGTGGGTGCTGGGAACTTAGGTCCCTCTTGAAGAGCAGGGGACACTCACTGCTGGGCCGTCTCTACAGTGACCTAAAGCACAGTGTCTAAGTGACCAAACCTCGTCTGTAACCGGGAGACATCTTGATTGCATAAAGATCCTGGGAGATGTATTTTTTGCAGTGCGGAGCATAGGACCCAGGTCAGTGTTTTAAAAGTGTCGGGAAGAACCCTTGTGAGTCAGGGTCGGGCTGTAGTCAGGCTGACTGACCCTTTGTCTCAGCCTCCAGAGGCCTGGAGTCACACACTTGTGCTTTGGGCTAGGAAACTTACCTCCCTTTCCTCCACTGGTACCTCTACTTTTCTGTACATGCCTGTGTGTGTTGAGTCTACTTTGTTACCTCTTCCTACCAAATAATTTCATAGTCTTTTCTGGACTTTTAAGACTGTCTCTGTTTATACATGTTAACACCTGTATGTTCTTCAGAATAAGGAATAGAATACAAAGTCTTATTAGTTGGAGCTACTGATTTTTTTTTTTTGGAGCTACTGATTTTTAAATGTCTGCATTTATAAAAATTATTTCTTGGCCGGGCGGTGGTGGCGCACGCCTTTAATCCCAGCACTCGGGAGGCAGAGGCAGGCGGATCTCTGTGAGTTCGAGGCTGGGCTGAACCGACAGCCTCCAAAACAATACAGAGAAACCCTGTCTCGTAAAAACCAAAAAAAAAAAAAAATTTCTTAATGCTTGTCTCTTTGGCTTTTGCATGTCCTGTATGCTACATTTTCTCAAATGCTCTGTTTTATAAGGCAGAGACTTACTTGTAACCTATTCCTTGAACTCATGAACTCACAATCCTCCTGCCTTACTGAAGCCTGTGTGTTGAGATTATAGGTGTGACCTACCAAACCCAGACATGCCAGTTACTTATATGAAGAAGAGGAGGGTGTACAAAGGTGAGAAACAGGAAATACTAATAAATAAGATCTCCCCCCAATTCTATACTTAGTGACTTGATGACTTGGAATAAGTATTTAACTTCTCTGTGACTGCTTCACTGCGTGTGAAATGAGTCACCTCATATTTTGTCCCCTCTTCTCATTGTTTTTCTATTTGGCATTAGGAGATGACACATACAGAGATGGGTCCAGTTGCATTGCAGTCCTCCAGACTGCTTGCTTGAGGTGCAGATTAGCCATACAGCATGGGCTCTTGGCTTCTTGTAGAGAAGACATACAGCATGGGCTCTTGACTTCTTGTAGAGAAGTCCCGTTTCTTTTTTTTTTCTTTCCTGACCTTGGGATTGAACTCGGGAACTAAGTGAGGTGTGCTAGGCAGTGCTCTACCATTTAGCTGTACCCCCAGTTCCTTGAGTAAAATCTTCATTTGATAAAGGGTCTTAGTAAGTGGCCCAGGTAGTCCTGAACTCCAGATCTTCCTGTCTCAGTCTCCGAGGTAGCGTGGATCACAGGTGTGCCACAGTGTCTGGCAAGGGCCTCCTTGGGTGCTCTCCTTTTCCCTAGCAGCGTGTGTCCTTTGTAGATAGTTTCCTATGTGTCTCCTCGGGCTCTCCCCATAGATGAGCAATAAAAATGCAAGCTGTCAGCTCACTGCTTTTCCTTGAGGCACTTGTTTTAAGCCTGAAGTGTTTTCGGGGAGGAAGAGCCCTGGCAGTGTTAGAGTTTGAAAAGGAGAGCAAAGGTTACAAGCTTGTACATAAAGACCTTGTTTATTGGAACTGTAGTGCTAAAATATATAATCGCTGAAATGGGATTTATTGGAATATTGAGGATGACATATGTTCTTTTGCATATATAAATAACTTGATTTCTTCCTTCAGCTTATGTTCACTTTATTTTTCACAAGTTCTGGAATAACCGGTTCTTATTTTCGTGTGTGTGATTTAGATTCATCTGCTTCCTTCTAAAGATATTATAATGCAGTTACTTTAAAGGCACCATAGCTGGGCATAGTTGGTGCATGCTTACAGCCCTAGCTTGTGAGAAGTAGAGGCAGGAGGATCAGGATACAAGGACAGCCTCAGCAACAACATAGGTGGTCTGAGGCCAGTCTGCACTGTGTGAGGCCCTGTCTCAGTACGTAAACAGATGAACAGATGGGATCCTAGTCTGCCTTGACAGACTAGAACTCATTTTCTCAACCTTACTTTTTCTTTTTTACAGCATTTGAGAAGATTTTATTCACGTGCATGTCATAGAAGATGAATTCCTCCTCTTCTACTATGAATGAAGAGCCTGATGCTCTGTCGGTAGTTAACCAGCTACGGGATTTAGCAGCGGATCCCTTAAATAGAAGAGCTATCGTCCAGGATCAGGGATGTCTGCCTGGCCTTATTTTATTTATGGACCACCCCAACCCCCCTGTTGTTCACTCAGCTCTACTTGTAAGTTGCTTTTAATATTTTCAGTGTTGGTGTTTTAATTTTGCAAATAAGAATTTTCAAAGACCTTTGATAACATGGTAAAAGACTAAAGGACATTGTTAGATCATGCAGTCTGTATTTTGGCATGTAAAAAGTATGGAAACTATGGTATATGTGCAATTCTTTAACACAACATGTTGATTTGGTTCTTTAATGTAAATGTAACTGTATAACACATATATAAAATGTTCTGGTACTTGGTATTTTCAGTTAACATGATGATCTACTATTTTCACTTTCTTTTTGACATGGGATATTGCTGCGTTGACCAGGCTGTTCTTCCAGCTCTTGGACTCAGGTCATCTTTTGACTGCAGGCATACACTACCACACCCAGATCATTACTGTCTTTCTCTCTCTCCTCCGACATCCCCAACACACACCATTTGTGTGTATAGCTAGGGCTCAAACCCAGGGCTATGCATGTTAGGCAAGCCTATTACTGATCTGTGTTCCTTTGTCCTTCAATTACAAGAACTCTTGAGTTCAGAAAGGTACTTCTTAGTACAAGGGATTGAAATCAGGGTGTCATGAATGTTAAGTACATCCTGTACTGAACTACATGTCTCTCTCTCTCTGTCTCTCTCTGTCTCTCTCTGTCTCTCTCTGTCTCTCTCTGTCTCTCTCTGTCTCTCTCTCTCTCTCTCTCTCTCTGTGTGTGTGTGTGTGTGTGTGTGTGTGTGTGTAATTTTATCACAGCCTCTTTTGTTGGGGAGGGAGATGGATGGAGACAGGATCTTGTATCCCAGGCTAACCTTATCCTGACCCAGCCTCCCAAATATTGGGCTTATAGATGTGCACAACCCCATCTGGTACAGAACAACTTTCAAAGATGTAACTCATATGCCATCATAAAGTTCATTCATTTAAAGTGGACACTTGAGTGGCTTTTATTCGCAGAGTGAAACAGCCACCCCTTAGTCACTTTTAGAACATTTTAATTTTTGTTATGTTGTTTGAGACATAGTTGTCTTATGTATCCAAGACCTACCTGGAACTTGAGATCCTGTTGATTTAGCCTCTCATATGTTTGAATTATAGAAGAGGCCACCACATCTTGCTTTAGAGCCTTTTTATCACCTGAGAGAGTTTGTACTGGTCACGTCTTACTCCCTAGTGCCATCCCCATTGTGTAGGCAGCACTGGACCACATATTTGTGACTTTTGTGACTTATCTGTCATTTGTATTATGTTGGTACAGATAAACCTCAGCAGGTGTCAGTGCTTCATTTCTTTTATGTTTGGATAACATTCTAGTGTATGCACACACACCATTGTTTATCCATTCACTAGCTGATGGGCATGACACTCATTTTAATATACGGTAAAGAGGACAGATATGGAAAGAAAGTATACAGGCTCAAAGCTAACAATTCAAAAGGAATTATGAGAAATGTGGAGGCTAGAGACACTTGCTAAAGAGTGGCAAGGCCATGGAGGAATTTCTGAGTGACAGGTAAAGTCTGGTCCCTTCAGTAGTACTTAATATAGAAAAACAAAACAAAACAAAAAAACCAAAACAAAAAAACCAAAATGGCAGCTGGAGCGGAGGGAAGAGCAGTGATGGAAGTAACTGCGGCACATTTTAAGGGACGGGTCAGTCAAGTGTTATCTGTAGACCCGACTTCTACCCTGATTTAAGCAAGCTCATCATAAGCAATTTTTGAGTGACTGGAAGTGCGTGTGTAGCATGCAGTAGATGACACTAAAATGTCACTGTGAAGGCTGGTGAGATGACAGTAGTTAACAGCTCAGGCTGCTCTTGTGAGGTACTTAGTTTGTGGTACACAGGCATACATAAAAGCAAAATAACTATGTCCGTAAAATAAAACAATTAAAAAAATTAAAGTCATTATGGCCAATAAGATGGCTTGGTGGCTGGTAAAAGTGCTTGCCACAAAGCTTGATGACCTGAATTCATGCCTGGAACTCACATGTTGGGAGGAGACAGCCAACTTCTGGAAGTTGTCTTGTGACTTCCAGGCATTTGTTGTGGTGCAGGGTCATGCACACAAAATAAATAATGTAAAAATTAAATTATAAATGTAACGCCATCAAGTGTGGTGGCACACACTAATACTGGTACCTGAAAGACAGAGTCAGGCAGATCTCTGAGTTTGAGACCAGCATGGTCTACATAGTGAGTTCCAGGCCAGTTATCACTATAAGACTCATCAAAACAAAGAATGCTGTGCTGTTGAAATAATATTAGCTAGACAATGAGAATGTGTTAAGACTTGAAGAAAAAAAAGTACTTTTTTAAAAAAGGTTATTTGTGTAGAATTTTATAATAGCATTAAGATAATTTAAAACTAATTTCTTCCTGGGTATGGTGTCACACACCTTTAATCCCAGCACTTTGGAGGCAGAGGCAAGTGGATCTCTGAGTTCAAGGCCACCATTATGTACATAGTGAATTCCAAATTGGCCAGGTATACACAGTGATATCCTGTCTCAAAACCCAAAACAACAAATTAACAAAAACACCAACTAATTTCTTAGATGGAGTGAAATATCTGCAGATGAGATGTTACAATCTCTAATGTTTAGTCACGACTATGGACTGCAGAGAGGGCTAAAACCAGATTGTCAAGTGATGACTGGTGCTTATTGGAGTTGAATGATGGGTACATGGGGGTCACCTCACATTTTCTTTATGTGTGTGCCCCAGTATTTCTATAACAGTTAAAAGAGATGGGCTAGAGGCAGAGGATGAGGAGTTAAAGGTCAGCCTGTGACACGTGAAATGTTGCTTTATCACATAACTGGCAGGAACAACAGACAGGAGGAAGGGTTTCTTTTGACTCTTGTTTCAGAGGGATTTAGCCCATGATGGGGAAGGCATATAGCAAGAGTGTCGCAGTTCATGAGTTCATGGTGGTGAAAATGTGTGGCAGGCTTCTTACGTCACAGTGAATGTGAAATGATTGAATGGCAGCCAGGGATGGGTATAACCTTCAAAAGCTCCCCTGCCCCCCTGCAGTGATCTAACCAGACCTTCCTGAGGATCCAGTCTTCAAAATAGTGCTACAAACAGGATCAGCTCTTCACAACACAGCCCTTTGGTGGGGGGCATTCCAAATACAAACGACATTAGTGGTTTTTTTTTGTTTTGTTTTATTTTGTTGTTTTGGAACTACGTAGCCTGTCCTGTCTTGTCTCCCTCAGTTTGGGATAAGGCATGGCACCCTCACATCTGGCTGGGGTAGGTAAATTTTTGGGGGAGGATTTCCTAAGTTTACAAACTAGGAAAAATTGCTCAGCAGTGATGAGAACTGTTTAGTGCAGTAGTATTGGATTGATATGATCTAATACTGGATTATTAAACTACTTTTCTTCCCACTTCAGACCTGCTATAGGCTCTGAGGGCCTAATAGCTGGATTTGTCCAGGGTTGATACTTGGCCAGGTAAGTTGGATAGAATGACTGCAGGGAAGTTAGAATACGATCATGGCAGGATTGGTTAAAATGGTGAGATTGTATGTGCCAGCCTGAGTAGTAAGGGAGCTGAAATAGAAGACTAGAGCTAATGGAAAACTAGAGGTTGAGGTTCTAGGAAGGATGACAGACTGCATTTTAATAGTTCCCCTTTCATAATATAACTTCAGAACCTTAGTTCAGTGGTCACTCTCAGTTTGATAAGATGCATTTTGAACTTATCTGTCTACTTTTATCATATGCTTTATGTATGGTGTGAGAATCATACATTATATTTCCTTCTTTTTCCCATCTTTGTTTTGCTTTCATTATATATTATACTTCTATGCATTTCTACTATATGAATATATACATGCATATTGCTTTAAATAGTGTGCTTTCTGTTTCGGTGTGTGTGTGTGATGATATTCAGGATTGAGCTAGAACCTCACACATGCTAAACAAGCACCTACCTAAGTCCCTAGCATTCACTTAGCTTTAAAATGTATTACATTTTAAAAAATTCAGTTTGTTTTTGTCTGTGACAGGGTTTCACTAGATAGCCTTGGCTGTTGGAACTCACTATGTAAGACCAGGCTTGTTTTGAGTTCACAAGTGTTCTGCCTGCCTCTGCCTCTCAAATGCTGAAATTACAGGCATGTGCTACCACAACTAGTTCCAAATATTATGCCACTTCGAAGTTTGAAAGGATGTTTTGGAGTGCTGTTGCCCTCTGGTTTAGGCTTGTCTCCAACTCTGGTTTTGTTTTGAGACAGGGTCTCATATAGCCCTGGCTGGTCTGGAACTTATAGACCAGGTTGGCCTTGAACTCATAGAGATCTGCCTTCAAAGTACTGGGATTAAAGGCATGTGCCATCATACCTGGTATTGCTTCAACTATTAACCCCCTTTGTTCACTTTTTTCAGAGCTAGAATTGAAGGTATGCGTCACTACATTCAGTTTCAAGTATCTTTTATATTACGTCTCTACTGTTTCTGGTGCTCTTCACTCCTAAACATAGACTGGGCTTTGTACTAGCGTCCTTTTCTGTTCTTTCTTTCCTTTGCCCATAAGGTCTCACTCTTGCAATTCAGGCTGGCTTGCAACTTGCTGTGTAAATGGAACTTGCCTGGAACTCATGTCTGTCTGCCTGCCTCAGTCTTATATGTCTGCACATTTATTTGTGTGTGTGTGTGTCTCTCTCTCATGTGTGTCGTGTGTGTATACGTGTGTCATGGTTCACTTGTGGATGTCAGAGAGAATTTTCAAGAGTGAATTTCCTCCTCTTACTATATATATATACTCTGGGGAATGGCTTCAGCTAGGAATCAAACCCAGGTTAGGGATAGAACTCAGGTCAATGGGCTTCCATGGCTTCAGCCCTTTTTCTTGCTGAGCCATCTTGCCACCCTGATAATGGCTTTTGTGACTTCATCTGTGAACTATATTACTGTTTCTCAAGAAATAATTGATATGTGTATCATAGATTTTGTTTTTTATTGTTATTTTACTTGGAATTTGTTGAATTCCTTGGGTTCATTATTTTTACATAGGTTTTTTATTTTTAATTTTTGCGGAAAGTCCCCTCCCCCCACTCTTCAGGTCTACTAACGTTAGCATATGTTGTCCTGTACACACTGCTGCACCTAGTCTTTATGCTCATTTATTTAATCCCTTTTCTTCCTTTCTGTACTTTATTCTGGCTGGTTTCTGTTGCTACATTTTAAGCTTGACTGTTCTTTATTCTGTAGTATCTAAACTGCTTTAATTTTTGTTTCAAATATATTTTGCCCTGTAGAAGTTGTCTTTTTTTTTTTTTTTTTTTTTTTTTGGTTTTACAAGACAGGGTTTCTCTGTATTGTTTTGGAGGCTGTCGGTCCAGCCCGGCCTCAAACTCACAGAGATCTGCCTGCCTCTGCCTCCCGAGTGCTGGGATTAAAGGCATGTGCCACCACCGCCCGGCTAGAAGTTGTTTTCTTAATGGCTTCTATTCCTCTCCTCCTCATCTTCATTTTTCTTCCTTATCCTCAAACATGGAACATATTGTAATAGCTTTTTGATGTTTTTCTAATTCATAATCTCTATTTTACCTTGATTTGTGTCTTTTGGTTACTTTCCTTGCCTCACTATTCTGGATATAGGTTACAGTTAATGTGTCTGGCTTTTGAAATTGTTTTAAGCCTTGCATGGTGGCACACACCTTTAATCCCAGCACTTGGGAAGCTGAGAGAGGTACTCTGAGTTTGAGGCCAGCCTGGTCTACAGAGTGAGTTCCAAGACAGCCAGGACTACACAGAGAAACCCTATCTCAAAAAAAAAAGTTTTAAATATTCCTATAAATACTGTTGAATTTTTTTCAGTGTTGCTTTTAGATAACTTGGGGCCAGTTTGATATTTCAAGATTGCTTTGGGCTTTGTTAGAGTGTATGCAATCTGTGATAGATACCTCCATTGCCAAGATGAACACATCCGAGTGTTCACAGATGCCTCATGTGTGGTTAGGTCTTTGTTCCCCTGGCAGATGTCATCCCACGCTATTCCCGCCTCACCCTGCGTCCAGGGGTTTGTTTGATTTGCTTTGTGGTGGTGTTATTCCCTCACCATGTGGCCTTTTGCGTTGCACACAGACTCTCTGGCCCCCCTTGTAGGTCTTTGGAATTGTTGCTGTTTGGGACCTTATTGTGTGCCTCTTCTCTGCTAGTATGACTGCTGGGACTTCTTCACACTGATGTCTGCCTCACAGACTCATAAACCACCAAGTCGTTTGTGTTCCCCTCTAGTGCTACCTACCATGTTTGCTGAGAAGGAAAGGGCCAATTCTAGAACCTTCCTCACCCCTTCTCCTCTAAGGATACAGCTGTATACTTCCTCTTGACCAGTGTCTGAAAGAGGCATTGAGTGCAAGTTTCTACAGGAAAGGGCAGTTTGCCTATCAGGATGACCTTCATTAGGTGAAACACAAGTCACAGCGGTAGTAATTGCAGAAAGAAACACTGGTGGTAGAGTTCGTGCCCCTTCTAGCTGTCACATTTTGTAGTAAAGACAAAAGGCCGGATAGAAATCTGAAGGTAAGTAGACTGAGATGGCTTTGCGTTTCGATGATGAAGTCTGTAGTTGATAGCAATATGGAGGTGTAAAGGCAAACAGCCAAGCAACTTGAAAGAAGCAGGAGGTGAGAGAAATAGTGGCAAACAAATGTGCTTGTTTAAGCGAAGGCTCTTGAGAAAGTTAGCTTAGCTCATAAATACAGAGCGGTGGCCGTTAGTTCATGTTTTAATTTTCATTTCATTTATTTTGATGTTTAGAGACGGTCTCCTTCTATAGCTCAGTTGTTATGAAACATACAAAGCACTCAAGGCTAGCCTCTACTCACAGAAATCCTCCTGCTTCAGCATCCTTCCTGGTGAAATTGCAGATGTAAGCCACCATGCCTGTTTGTTTCTCAAATTTAAAACACATTTGAAAAGGTGTAGTATAGTAAAACTGGAGTCCGTTCATTTTCTGTTTTGTCCCCCAGGAGTTTATTTTAATTAATGCGTAAAAAGCATCCAGGGGAGTGATGGCTGTTAGAACTACGTTTTCAGATTAGTAAATGGAATATAGCTCCTTGTAGCCTTGAAAGATGAAATGATAAATAAAAGTGAAATGATTTTGACCTTGAAGATAAGGTTGGAATGCTCATTTCATATGGCACATTCAATTACGACAGCCCCTAGGAGATTATTTTAAATGTTACATTTAAAGGTGAATGTAAAGTCAATTGTTGCTGAAAGTAAAAACGTATTTTCCTTTTCCTCTTGCAGTAAATAAGTGACCATAGTTCTGAGCAGTCTTGTTTTGTGAACTGACTGTTGTCTCTGCTGCAGGCGCTCCGGTACTTGGCTGAGTGTCGTGCGAACAGAGAGAAGATGAAGGGAGAGCTGGGGATGATGCTAAGCTTACAGAATGTCATCCAGAAGTAAGTACAGAGGAGGAAGAGAAACGGTCTGTATGAGCCAATTGATGACTCAAGTTTACTGACATTTTCTCTTTTAAGTTTATAATATTACTTAGAAATTTTAACTATGGCAAAAGATAGGCTTCTTTCTGTAAGTCTTATATCCAAAAATATTCTGCAGTGAATATTAATTTTCTGTGTAGCCATGGCTGTCTTGGAACTTGCTCTGTAGACCAGGCTGGCCTTCAACTCAGAGATCTGTTTGCACCTCTTGAGAGCTGGGATTAAAGGTGTGTGCCCCCATGCCTGGCTGTCAATTTTGTTTTTATTGGTAAACACGGTTATTAACAGTACTTACATATGTTTTATTTAAAATGTTGACATCCATTCTGTCAATTTGTGGATATTAATAAGTATTCTATAATTTGATTCTCTTTCCTGTATTGTAGTGTTAATCCTAGGACATTGCAACTGATGTGGCAGAAATAGGGCAACAGGTTTTTGTCCAAATTTCAAGACAGCTGACTATCCATGGCTCTTAATAGCTGTCAAGCATTTCCTTCCCACTATGTTTTTTAAAAATCTTATTTATTTTTATTTCATGTGCATTGGTGTTTTTGCCTGCATGTATGTCTGTATGGGTTGTCGGATCTCCTGGGACTGGAGTTACAGACAGTTGTGAGCTGCCATGTGGGTACTGGGGTTGAATCTGGGTTCTCTGGAAGAACAGCCAGTGCTCTTAACCACTGAGCCATCTTCTCACCCCCTCCCCCACTTGTGTTTTCTAGTCCATTAACTGCTGCTTGTGCATTTATGCTGTAAAGATTTAAAATTCACTATTTCCCATTGGCTAAAAAAGGATATTAAGAAATCACTTGCTCATGGGCCATTACCTAAAAATAAACGAATACTGTTTGTGTGATTATTTTTGAGACAGAGTCTTCAGAGCCCAGGCTGACCTCAAACTTACTCTGTAGTCAAGGATGACCTTGAACTACTGATCTTCCTGCTTTTACTTCCAGAATGCTGTTACTGCCGTTGTGTTTGTGGGGTGAGGGGGGCTAGAACTCAGCTTCATCCATGCTAGTCAAGCATTTTTTCAGTTGAGCCACATTCCCAGCAGTGTGAGTGTGACAGTGAGTGTGTGTGAGGGGGGAGTGTGTGAGAGAGTGCTGAGTGTGTGTAGGCATGTGTGAGTGTGCGTGATCATATTTTTTTAAAGAGAAAAGTCTTACACTGAATGAAGCTTTATAAGTACATGAGTTAATTTGGTAGCAGAGCAGCCAGACAGCTGGTCACAGAACATGGCCTACAGTGGGCTATCATGGTGGGCTGTTGAGAGTACGTACCTTAATGGGCTTTACTCAAAGGGCCCTGCCTCTACCGTGGTCATGGAAATTCAGAGTTTCTTTTGGTGAGATTGCTGTGAATCTGATTGAAAGCTTATGGAAACAAATCAGTGACATGTGTATTTCTTAAACAGGCATAGTTATTGAAGTTGAAAGTAAGTGGTACAAAAAAAGATGTGGAAAATTAGATTTAAAAGCAGCGTTACAGCTGGGAGGTGGTGGAGCACACCTTTAATCCCATTACTCCGGAGGCAGAGAGGCAGGTGAATCTCTTGAGTTTGAGGCCACTCTGGTCTACAGAATGAGTTCCAGGACAGCCAGGGCTACAAAGGGAAACTCTGTCTCAAAAAACAGAAAAAGGAGTGTTGAAAGCCAGGTGTTATTACCAATACATAAGATTCCGGCAGCTAGCAGTCTGCCAGGAGCTTGAACTCTGGAGACTGCTTCAAAAGCAGTGAGAGGCTCGTCCCGAGGGCCACCCACAGTCACTCACAACTATCTGAAGTCACTCACCAGGTTGAGGTGATCTGAACTCCTCTTCTGGCTTCTGTGGACACTGCATGGATGCAGTGTATAGACACATACAGACAAAACATCGGTACACTTAAAAATCATGTTTTAAAAAGCCAAAATAATATTGAAAACTAAAATACATTTTACATTTGAGCTTTTAAAAATTTAGAGTGAGTTCAGGTAACATAGACTTTAACCTGTAAAGTAATTTCTTAACCTAGTTGGCTCAAGGATGTGGTAAAGTGTGTGTATGTGAAAAAGATGCGTTGGCAAAGTAGGGAGACCGCAGTGAAGTCACTCAGAGATACTGAAGACATCTTGGCAGGTCAGCAGGGAAGGAGATCCCAGATAAAGTTAGAAACGTAGATTAATGTCTTAGACATAAGGAAGGCTGGAACATGATTGGGCGGAGAAAGTCTCCAGCACACTTTTGACAAGGAAGAAACAGATAGGCAGAGTGTGATTACAGTATAGACCTGACAGCCGTCCTAGTGGGCAGCTGCAAACAAAGAATGCCTTTTAGATCAGTCCTACACTGGACAGAATGACATCTTACTGGAGGCTGCCTGGGAAGAACATCCCCTGCCCTTGGATTTGTGATGGTTCAAAGCTGCTGTTTGCTACTATAACTATAACAGAACAGTCCTTTATGTATTTAATTAATGTATTGAATTTTGCATGGGTGTGTGCCTGGCTGTAGAGGTCAAAGGACGGCTTGAGTAAGCACCTTTAACCACTGAGCCGTCTCATTGGCTTGTAAGGCTGCGTGCACATGTGTGCTTGTGGTGCACAAGTCTGTCTGTTTAAACCAGTTTTATTCAGAGGCCTGAAGGACAGTTGGAGCCAAAGACATCCACGGGATCTATCTGCCATGTTGGTGGACCAGATCTTCCTTGTCATTAAAGACCATAAAGGCCTTTTTCTGAGGGGGATCCAAGCAGTGTGTCTGTATGGTATCTGAAAGTAACTTAATTTTTTAAAGTGAAGTATACATTTTTAGAACAGTGTGGGGATTGCTTGCTCCACTAATAATAACATACCCATTCTCATTTATTTGAAGGTCCCCTTCCAAGCTTCTTAAGTGTTGATCTTGAAAGTCTCTTTTGTTCAGCAGAATAAGCATTAGAAGTACTCACAATTGAATTCTGTGTTAATATAGCTAGTCTAGTTAGCTTGCTACCTGCTTAGTGTTAGCATTACAGGCAGACTCTCATGCTACCTGGCATTTCCATGGGTGCTTGGGATCCAAACTCCATTTCTCATTCTGCATGGCACATGCTTTCCCTGTTGAGCTGCCTTCCTGGCTCTGTTAATATTTCTTTAAATGGCTTTGTTCATATGCTTTCCATCTCTCTGCCTGTCCTGTTCAACTTTAAAAATAACTTAAGCTACCTGAATCGACAGAAAAGAGATGGTTCAAGCAAAAATTGTAGTAGCAGAGAAATTTGACAACCTGATTTCGCTACTTGGTTTCCTTTTTAATTATTTTAATTAAATGTACTTTTGTACTATGCCTGGATAGATTCCAAATCTGAGTGAATCATGTTTTAAATGAAATCTGGAGATTGTTACCGCCTAGCCAGGCATAGTAACTTATTATGAGTGTCTTAGGGCTTTTGTTGCTGTGAAGAAACACCATGACTACAACAGATCTTAAAGGAAAGCTGCGGTTGGCTTACAGTTCAGAGGTTCAGTCCATTGTCATCATGACAGGAAGCATGGCGACATGCAGACAGATGTGCTGGAGAAGGAGCTGGGAGTTCTACATCTGGATCTGTAGGCAGTAGGAAGGGAGAGTGACACCGGAACTTGCTTGAGCACTTGAAACCTCAAAGCCCACCCCCAGTGACACACATCTTCCAACAAGACCTCATCTAATTGTGCCACTCCTTGTGGAGCAACAGGGGGCATTTTCATTCAAACCATCACAATGAGTTAGAGAAAATTAACCTGGACTGTGTAAAGTTTGAGGGGAGAGTATACAGACTAGATGTTTTCCCTAGATTATTGGTGATCCTTACTCTGTCCTTCTCTTTCTTTAAATGAAGTAGAATCTTGTGTTATAGACCGGTCTCAAGCTTGTGTGGCCAAAGAGGACCTTGAACTTCTGATCCTCTTGCCTCTGCCTCTTGAGTGCTGTTTTTCTAGCTACAGACAGTTGGGAGCTGCCATGTGGGTGCTGGGAATTGAAGAGCAGCCAGTGCTCTCAACCGCTAAGCCCCTGTTGAATGCTGTTTTTATAGTAGAGTGTTACTGCAACCTGTGTTGAACACAGGGCTTGTGCATGTTAGGTAAGCGCTCTGCCGTCTGAACTACATCCCCAGGCCCCAATATTGATTAATCTAAGACTCATTGCATTTTTATTGAACAAAGTATTAGGATGAAGAAAACAAAATAAACCAAAGTTGAGAAGTAAAATGACAGAATCAGCAAAAGTGACTTTATTCGTTTCTTTTCAAGGACTACAACTCCAGGAGAAACAAAACTTCTGGCTTCTGAAATCTATGACATCCTTCAATCCTCTAATATGGCTGATGGTGATAGTTTTAATGAAGTGAATTCACGTCGGAGGAAAGCTCAGTTCTTTCTGGGAACTACAAACAAACGTGCCAAAACAGTAGTTTTGCAGATAGATGGTCTCGATGATACGGTAAGATTTATAGATGTGGTTCATTAGATGGCGAGAGAAATTGTATCGCCACTTATTTTACAGTCACTTGCTAACATTCTCTAAGAAAAAGTTGCAATATTAATATTTTATACTCTTGACAAAAGGGATGTCTTATGCTAAAGATACTGACTAATGGGCATACATAGCAGTTTTAAATGTCCATGTTCTTAATAGTAGGATTTAGAGAATATGCAGTGAAACACTTGAACTGACAGGCATACAAGAAGAAGACATGATGAGATACAACTTACTAATGTCAGAAATGAGGTAGTCACCATTAGGGCCTGAGGCATTAAAAGGGCTCATCTGTGTTGTAGCATGTATCTGTACATCACGTCTTCGTATGTATTCCATCGAATGGATGTGGGGACTTTGCTTATCTATTTATTAACTGATGGATGGGTGAGTTGTTTCTATATCTTGACTCTACGAAGCCTGCTAGGAGCATGTGTTTATACATGTTAACATCCTCTTGAGTACATATCTAGTGGCATTGCTCAGGAATATGGTAATTATAAGTGTAATTTTTAATGAACTATCAGATTGCGCTGTGGCTGCACAACTTTATGTTCAACCGTATTGCAGTTTCTCCATGTCCTCTTTAGGGCTTGCCATTTTCCAGCTGTCCTAGTAAATTTGAAGTGTTGCTTATGACTTTGATTTACAGTGTCCTGACATATAATGATGCTGACAAACATTTTAGTAGTAGTTTTTTTTTTTAGCAATTGAGTTGGGGTTATTGTATATATGTTTTAAGTTATTTCAGATTTATGTTTGAGAGAAATGCTTTGTTCTTTGACCAGGTTTAAATGATCTATTGCTGAGTTCTCTGAATGACATGGGTGCTTGGAATTGAATGTGTGTCCTCTGCAAGAGCAGATGCACTCTAACCACTGAGCCATCTCTCCAGCCCCCTTTTGATTCATTTTGCTGAAATCATCATTGAGGCCATTTGGCCCTGGCCTTTGCTTTGTGGGCAGTTTTTTGACCAGTCATTGAATCTCTTTACTTGTTGTAGGTATAGTCACCTTTTCCTTCTTCCTTCCCTCCCTTCCTTTTTTTTTTTTTTTTTTTTAAGTAAGCTTTGGTTGTTTATGTCTTTGTAGTATTGTGTTCATTTTGTTGAGGCCATTTGTTGGCATGCAGTTATTCATAGTATTTGTTTGTACAGGCTGTGTCCTTGATCCAAAAATGCAAATTTTGAAATGCTTTAATGTCCAGACCTTTTTTTAAAAAAATATCAATCTGATAGAAAGGTGTAGAGTTTGGAGAATTTTTTTAATTAAAAATTTCCTTTAGATTTTTAGGTTTTATTCCATGAATATGAATGTTTTGCCTGCATGTGTGTATGTGTACCAGAGACTGGCACTGGATTTCCCAGAGCTGGAGTTTATGAATGGTTGTGAGCTACCATGTGGATGCTGGGAGAATTGAGCCTGGTCTTCTGTTAAAGCTACAGTCACTCCAAACTGCTGAGCCATCTCTCCAGTCGTAAGAATTAATCATTTTTGAATTTGAGATGTTCAGCTACTGAAGTTTACACAAAAGTTTTAAAATCTGGAAGAAACTCACAGATCTGAAACACTTTTTATCCCAAGACCAGGTAAAAGATACTCAGCCTTTAATAACTTTCTATTTCTGCAAGGTGGCTCTAATATTTCCTTAAGTCCTGAGTTTAGCAGTTGGCTTTTTCTTGGAAGTTAAAGGTGTGTCAGTTTCATTGAGAGACAGGGCGCTTCCCAGTGATTTGAGTTTGAAGCTTACTATCTAGCAGGAGCCCAGGCTTTCTTTGTGTTGATTTTGTTTCAGTTTTATTCAAATTCTTGGCTTTGTGAATTTAAATTGGTGGCAAATTTGGATTGACTTTTCCACCATATGTTCAAAACTAACTTTTCCGCCTTTTTCTGGGGAGGGGAAAATTATGTGTTATCTGCACTTTAGATTTCTTCATGGTTCATTGGTGTCCTGTTCATTTGCTTTTCATTTTCACTTAAAGTTTCTGTTTCTGTGTTCACTAATTTTGTTCTGTGAGTGTTCAGTTTGCTGGTAATCTCTTCCAGTGTGTTTTTCATTTTGAACATTTCATTATAGGATATTTTGAAATGTGGCTTAGATCTTTTATGATGTTTCTATAGCATGTTTATGTTGTACTCTTTGAACATAGAAAAAAATTAGTAAAATAGTTTAATGCCCATGTACACTAACTCTGCCACCTGTATTTCTGATTTTGCTTTTGATTGGTTTTTCTAATTTAGTGTTTTTGTGTTCCTTTTGAATGTCTGGTAATTTTTTATTAGATGCCAGATATTTTGTGCATTGTGGAGCACAGCATGTATTTGTATGCAAAGCCTTTAATATTATTCAGCTTTATTCTTATTTTGGGGGGTTTCAAAACAGGGTTTCTCTGTATTTTGTAGGCTGTCCTGGAACTTGCTGGGTAGACCAGGCTGGCCTCAAACTCACAGAGATCTGCCTGCCTCTGCCTCCAAGTGCCAGGATTAAAGGCGTGCACACACAAATTGATCATCAGTCGGCTCAAAACGAGGGTGACTTTAAACTTTATTCTATGGCCCCCTCCTCTATGTCTTCCTCTCATTCTTGGTTTGCTTTGCCCTGAGAACTAGAGTTACTTTAACCTCTCTGGGTTCTAAACTGTTCCTCAACTCAGGGAGGCTGCTGATTTCTGGTTGGTCTCTGTTAGACTTTTTGTTGCTGTGTTAAATACTTAACAGAAATAACTTGAGGAAGGAGTGGCTTATTTAGGCTTGCGCTTTCAGTTCTTGGTTCCTGAGTCCTGAGACCCTAGGCCTGAAACACATGCTGTATCATGGCAGGCAGATAGAGTGGTAGAGGAGGCTGGTCTCCTCAGATGCAGGGGATGTCTGGTGGGGCTGTCTTCTTTTCCATTTTTATACTGGGACTGCAGCATATTGATGGTGCTTCTATATTCAGAGAGAGCTCATACTCCCTTTGAAGAATTCTCTGCAGATGCCCTCACAGACAACATACTAGAGGTGTACTGTATTGTGAGTGTTTTGCCTGCGTGTGTAGTGCCCACAGAGGCTGGAACAGAGTGTTGGATCCTCTGGAACTGGACTTACAGATGGGTGTAAGCTGCCATGTGGGTTCTGGGACTTGAACCCAGTCCTCTGGAAGAGCAGCCAGTGCTCCTACTTAACCTTTGAGCTCTTCTCCAGTCCCACAGTGTGCTTTCCTAATCTGGGGGCATTTCTCAGTTCAGTCAGGCTGACAGCCAAGATAATATCAGTTTCAACATGCTGTGCTGGGCCCAAAAACCCTTCTAAGCAATAGGGAGCTCACCTCATTTTTTCTTCCTTCAGAGATGTTACTCTTCTAATATCTAAGCATCACTGTTTTTTTTCAATAATAGTCTATACTTTTAATTATTTAATCCTAATTTAGTATATATGCTTCCACTCCACCTTAACTGGAGTTATCTTGACCAATAATAAATTACATACTACATACTCAGGGGTAGACACTTAAACTAGTAATTGACCACTTAACCCTTTATCTATACCAAGTATTTTCTTGTGTCCATCATGTGTCGTCTGCGTCATCCTCCCCTTTACCCCCTACATCCTCCCCTTTACCCCCCCCACATCCTCCCGTTTACCCCCCCACATCCTCCTCTTTACCCCCCACATCCTCCCCTTTACCCTTATACACGAGGAACTGCTACTATCTGCTTCCGAGCACTTTTGTTTCATTATTCGCTTGTTCGTTTTATGATATTAGTTAGCATTGGATGACAATTATTAAAACTACATATTAATATTGAAGTTTGAAATGTGCCAGGAATTAGTGTGGTGTTGTGACTTTGCCTCCCTTCCTATGCAAACCTAGCCCTTTACCAATTAACTGGTAACAGTGTTTCACGCTTCTGTCAGCGGTGGATCACACATGTCACTGTGGTACCATAGGGTTAGATATGCTTAGGTAGACAGGCAGGTACCTGCAATATTCAGCCCCCCTGCCATACGCAGTGTAGGATAAGCTGTTGAGGAAGCTTTGCTTTACAGCCTGTGTGTAGCAGGCTTTGCCATGTCGGCATGTGTGATTTGCTCTGTGGTGTTTTTACAGTGACAGAATCAACACTAATGAGTGGTCAGGGTGGCTTAAGTTGATTTATTTCCCCTACCTGTTCTAATAACAGTTTGCTTTCTCTCTCTTTCAGTCTCGAAGGAATCTGTGTGAAGAGGCTTTGTTAAAAATTAAAGGTGTTATTAGCTTTACTTTTCAAATGGCTGTTCAAAGATGTGTGGTGCGAATCCGTTCAGATTTGAAAGCAGAGGTTAGTAGTTTGAATGACCAAATATACCTGAAGTTCTAAGGAAGCAAGACATCATTCAGGATTGTTCCCTTTATTCTTTTACCCCAGGCTCTGGCGTCAGCAATAGCATCAACCAAGGTCATGAAAGCTCAGCAGGTGGTGAAGAGTGAAAGTGGGGAAGAGGTAAAACTTTATTTTATCCCTATCAAACTGGGGCTCTTGATTTTTCTTTTAATGCTTAGTGCATTGTAACATTCGTAGTGGAATAGTTATGAGATATAAAGATGCGGTTTATCTTTTTTTTTTTTTTTTTTTTTTTGGTTTTCTGAGACAGGGTTTCTCTGTATTGTTTTGGAGGCTGTCCTTGAACTCACTCTGTAGACCAGGTTGGCCTTGAACTCACAGAGATCCGCCTGCCTCTGGCTCCCGAGTGCTGGGATGAAAGGTGTGCGCCACCACCGCCCAGCTGCGGTTTATCTTGATTAATAGTTCATTGCTGTCTTAATAGTGTTGAGAGATCTTTCGTGAAGCTTAGAGTGTTATAAAGAAAGCTGTGAACTTGGTGGAGATGCGGTGCGGATTGTGTATATAGATAAAGGACAGCCTCCTTGCATTGGTTTTCAGGACTTCTTTCTAACTTGAACTACTTTTGTGACTGCAGGACAATAAAAGTAGACTCTGAACAGTAGATAATGAGGCCTTGATGAGGAGGGATGGACCTGTAAGCTGTGAGCTCCTTTGGCTTCCACAAATGAGTGGCTTTGTGGCACTCCAGGGGTTCAGAGTGGCCCTGCATGTGTTTATCCTATTTCTAGAGACAGGTTCCTCCTCCTGTCCTAGAACCCCTGGTAGACGGCAGCTGCAGAGTGCTCAGTTCCTAACTGTCATTCGAGAGTCCTGGGATGAAGATGATGCTTAGGCTGAGGATGTGACAAAGGGCGTGGATGGTGTCATGTCAGGTTGGGTTCCTAATGGCTCTTCATGCTTCTCTGTGTGTCAGATGCTGGTCCCATTCCAAGATGCCCCTGTGGAAGTGGAGGAGAACACAGAGCTGCCTGACTACTTGCCTGAGGATGAGAGCCCTACAAAGGAACAGGACAAGGCAGTGTCCAGAGTCGGCTCACACCCTGAGGGTGGAGCCAGCTGGTTAAGCACAGCTGCAAACTTTTTATCCAGATCATTTTACTGGTGACTCCAACTTCAGTTTGGGGCTCAAGGACTGTGCAAACCAACAGGGGGCCAGCTTTCCATTGTGGTGAACTGTCAAGTGCAATTTGCGATAGGTTATCATGGAAAGTTTCTAGATTACATGACTGCATATGCTGCATTTTACATTTGGCTGGACGTTTTCCCCACCGAATGGTAAACAGGACAGAGCTGCAGGTGGAAATGGCTTATGAAGGTATTTTGGTATTGTTTTCCTTTGCTTAACTGTCTCACTGTTTTTTGAAAAACATGGGTCCATTGTTAAAACCAAATGTATGTGCAGCTTTACATTCTGTTTTACATGAAGCATGTGACTAGGAAACTCGTTTTCTCCTCAAGCCTCAGGAGCTTTCTGAAGAGAAGTTTTGCATAGCTCAAGTTGTGCATGAATTTTTAGCAGCTTTTCTTCATGAACGATATATGACATGTGCTTTGGTATCTTCTCTGAAAGTTGAAAACATACCTAGTTTGCCCCGTTCTGTGCCTTTTTTATTTTGCCAACCATGTTTATAGAAAGGACATTATTAATGGCATTTTGCAAGTGGAATTATATTCATTTGGATATAGCAATACCTAAAAAAAATACAAAATCTCTACAATCTTACTTGCTATAATTTTAATGAGGTTACTGCAAGCCAGTTAAGACAACGGGGATGTGAACAGCAGCAAAGTGCTCTTGGGAGAGTCTGAATGTGACCCAGCGTGGCTCTGTTGACTCCTGCTCACTTAGGCTATAGTGGCTTGTGAGAATTAAGTCCACTGTGATCTTTTGAGCAGACATACCCTGTGGTGACACTGTGTCCTGCTAGAGGAGAGTTATAGGTTTGTTTCTTTGCTTTTTTTTTTTCCCCAAGACAGGGTTTCTTTGTGTAGCCCTGGCTATCTTGGAACTCATTCTGTTGACCAGGCTGGTCTTGAACTCAGCGATCCACCTGCCTCTGCCTCCCGAGTGTTGGGATTAAAGATGTGCACCACCACAACCTGACAAGAAAAGTAATAGTGAATAGTTTAAAGAACTGACAAACTTGAAAACAAAATTGATTCCTAGAATGCCGCAGTGCCGCTTGGTCAATCTGACTTCGGACATAAACTGTCTGGTACATGCCCATTCCAGAGATGTTTCTTTTTATTGCCTTTTTGTGGTTTTTAAGAAAATACTGCAGTCAAATGGAATAAAACAAGACCCCAAAATTGTTGCTTATAAAGAAAGAAAGCCAGCACTGGTCACTTGGTCTTATTTTTCATGTCTAGTCAGAAAAAAATAAAGGACTTCAGTGAAGGTAAGATACATAAAACAGACACACTTTTCTGTTCTTTTGTTTTTTTTAAGGACTGAATTACATGTATGTGATGCTTTCTTAAGATCCTAAAATATTTGACAACTAATATTTTCTTTTTAGAAATCCAGCTAAATCTATTTTCATGTCAACATCACTAAAAACTAACAGGAAGAAACTGCAGAGCACCTGTATCCACCCTGCAGAGCCACTGTTTTGCTACGTGGAGAATGTGATGTGAAATCAGACTCTGGAGGGTTTCCTTGCATTCTTGTTGTTTCTCTTCTAGAGAAAATTGAAGTTATCCAGTGTTATCAGGGGAAAATCATCATAAAATACTAAGCCATGAGAGCTTCTGAGTTCATTAAAATTGTGGCTTTCTCCTTAGAAATCCGGCTTCAGTGGCTATAGAAAGGAGGTGATGGTAGTGTTTGATTTCCAACACTTGTGCTTCTGCCAGCAAGTAGTATTGTGTGTTAGCAATGTGCTACACAGTTGTGTCTAAGATCAGACAAATAGCAAAACAGCAGGTCTACATGGTGACGAAGGTGCATTGCAGTTTCTTCCTGTTAGTTTTTAGTGATGTTGACGTGAAAATAGATTTAGCTGGATTTCTAAAAAGAAAACTACAATGTTAATGAACTCAGAAGCTCATTGCAGCTTTCTGAATGAGGGTGTTGAAGGTATGTAGATCATTTTTCCACATGTCTGACCTCTGATTCAAGTGGTAGGCACAAACAGAAAGTAGAAGTTTTCAGGGCACATTGCTAACACAGAATACTACTTGCTGCCAGAGTCAGATGTGTTGAAAATAAAACAACAAAACCACCTCCTTGCTATAGCCATTAAAGCAAAGTTTACTTTCTATTTTAACACATTTTTATTTTATTTTGCATTGTCACACATTTATTTAAAAACTATAGCCCTTTGGTAGTGACAGTCAGGACAGTTGATATTTCAAACTGATGTTTGTGTGTATGTAGGTGTTCCTTTATTCCAGGACTCTCAGAGGAGTCAAGGCGACTATAATGGCAGTTTTTGAAATATATTGTAAAATAATAAAATAACAATGAAAATTGAGTGGATATTGTATTTTTAAATATTTATTTATTTGTACATATGTCTGCCTCTTTGTGCACATGCCTGAGGAGGTCAGAAGGGTATCTGTTCCTGGAACTCGAGTTATAGGCAGTTGTGAACTGTCTGATGGGGGTGCTAGGAGTTGAACTCAGTTCTCTCTAAAACACATGTTCTTAACCACTGAGACATTTGTCTAGCCCCAGAATATTGTGATATACAGATTATTGATTGTTAATTTATTTTTTTTTGTAGTACTGGACATTCAACCAGGGACTCAAGATTCTGTTTAAGTCTGTTTGCATTTTATTATTTGTCTGTTTGTTTGTTTTGAGACAGGTTCTTGCTGTCTAGTCCAAGCTGACCTGAACCTTGTATTTGGTCTACATTAACCTTGAGCTCTAAATTCTCTTGCGTACATCCTGAATGTCAAGGTTATAGGAATGTACCAGCGTGCCTGGCTCTTTGGCACTTTGCACAGAGACTGTGGAGCACGTAGTCTCAGTTCTACAGGCGCATCTCCTGGATCCCCGAGCTGGAGAAACCAGACTTAGAATCGGTTCACATGATCTCTTGTCACATTTGGAATTGGTTTTCCAGAGCTTCTGGTAGAGGCTTGTGTTCTAGCTTCAGATCTACCCTAATTTTGATTTTAAAGAATTGTTACAAGAGAATAAAAATTGCTTCTTATTTTATAACTTGCTAGCTGTCTAAGACTAGACAGTAGTTTAATCCCTGAACTGTATAGCAAAATGAAGGTAAATTCCTTCATAGGATAGTTCATAGAATCATTATATTAAAACATTTTATAAAAAATGTTTACTGATACTCAGTGGAATTGTTGCTACTGGCTTGTAACACTGTTGTTTCCTTGACATTAATTTCACCCCCACCTCCTGTACTGTGGACATATTCCAGGGCACACATGTAGGGTCAGGACAACATGTGGGAGTCGGCTCTCCTCTATCATGTAAGTCCCAGGACTGAACTGAGGTTGTCAGCCATGACTTTCCCTGATGAACCATCTCACCAGCCTCTTGAATCTCAAGAGATAACACAATACTAGCTTTGACTTTTCTACATCTACCCAATAACACAATACTAGCTTTGACTTACCTATCTACATCTACTCGACTTTTTTTGTTTTGTTTCTGAGGCTTGGGCACCTACAGTTTTTATCTAAAATTTCCCCTTGAATTCATTTATCTGTTGTCAGGATTCCCCCTCCCCTTTAGATGCTGAAATTTGTGGAGAAGGAAGAGAAGTGATAAAGCAAATGTAAGAAAATGTTAACATTTAAGGACTAGTATGCAAGAGCTTTTGTACTATTCATATAGGGTTTTTGTAAGTCTCAAACTGGCAAAAACTTTTTAATTTATAGCGTAATTATCAATTCTTTGGGAATTTCACATCATGCACTCCAATCCTGATCACCTCCCTGTGTCTCCATGTCTGCCCCCTCACAACTGCAATTCTCCCAGGAAGCCCCCCAAATTAATACAAAGCAAAACCATTTGCTCCTCCATCTTTCCTTCCTCTTCAACACCTCTTCATTTATCCTAGTGGCATCGGGAGTGCTGTGTGTCTTGCAGTATACCCTTTTGTCCAGTCAGCCCCACCTGCAAATGTCCATTGCAGTGAGTCATTGGCCTGGTTCAAGGCCTCTGACACACCATCCCTCAACCCTCACTGGAACTCCTGTTGGATATCCTGTTGCCCTGAGTCATGGAGAGCCTGCACCACCCTTCACGTGCTCCAGCAGGTCATAGATAGGATAGATATTAGGGAGGACCAACCCAAGGCCCAGGATGTGGGTCTGGCTGGGTGGGAGCTGAGTTCTTCACGCTGGGCTGCTGGGACAGCCCCCTCAGGTGAAGGGTGGAGCCGACTCTTCTAGGCCCATGCTATCCATCGGACCCAGCTCTCCTGCTGCAGTGCCCAGCGAGGGGAAGGGCCATCTATCTCAGAGCCAGTGAAGAAGGCTAGAGCCTGCTCAGCACAGCCCGCAGATTTCAACACACATGGTTCCTGTGACTTGCTGTGGTAACATGGGCCATGGACCCCAACTGCATCACGACCGCGGACCCAGACATGACTCTTGGCAGTAGCGTGGACCCAAACATCACCATGGCCCCAGTGGCAGCACAGGCCACCCAATCAGGATGACCCTGGTGGCGGTATTGCCCTTGGACACCAAGATGGTTTCAGGTGGCTGGCTAGACCCTGAGCATCTGCATGGGCCTCGGTGGCAATAGGGCCACGGGCATCAATACAGACCCCAGCTACTGTAGGACCTTGGACTCAGACATGTTCTTTGGCAGCAGTCCAGGCTTGGATGTCACCATGGCCCCAGGTGTCAGTTCAGGCTACCCAGATCGGCACAGCTCCCATGGCAGTGAGCCCTCGGACACCAACATGACTTCAGGTGACTGTCCAGACCCATGATATCAGGAACCATGGACATCAACACAGACCCTGGCTGTGGTAGGGCCGTGGACCCAGACATGGCCCAAAAACTACTTCTGGAAGCAAATTTATAGGATACTGATAAATTACATCCACTGATTAAAAGATCTCACGATGCACACAGAATAAGTGCAAATTTGATGAATAACTGCACCAGATACTAAATAATTATAGTGAAGAGATGAATCCTACGGTCACTTTTGTGATTTTTTGGGGAGGGGCAGGGGAAGGCAAGGTTTCATGTAGCCCAAGCTGACCTCAGATTTGCTATGTAGCCAAAGATGACCTTGAATTCCTGGTCCTGAGGTGACAGGTCTGCACAGTATACTCAGCGCTTTTGATTCCAATTACAACTAGTTCTGACGAGGATTTGGGTGGTAGAGTGGCTGCCTGGGTCGAGCCCGGGTTCGATTTGATGCTCGGGTCTGTTACTTTTGTGTGGACAACATCTAAACCTCCACTGTCATCATCTGCAGTCCTCTTTTCCTCTACAGCAGACACCAAGTGTAAGTCCAAGGGTTCTTTTCTCTGTTAGCACTGGCTGTCCTGGAATGTGCTCTGTAGACCAGGCTGGCCTTGAACTCACAGGGCTCCGCCTGCCTCTGCCTCCTGAATGCTGGGATTCTACCTCCCAGCAAGTCTGAGTTTTTATGTATAGTAGAGTCCTGCTCAGGAGAAGCATGCAACAAATCCTGTGCTGGGTACTGTGGTAAAATTACACATATTTTCTCATCCAGTCCTTAAGCCAAGGTAAGTATACGTCATTAAATTAGCATTTTATAGGCAGGAAAATGAGAGGGATTTAGTGATCCAGTGCCAGGTGATGATGAAGCCAGGACTCAACCAAGGCGGTCTAGCACGAATCTCTTGTCTTTGGCAGCCAGCATATCAAGCTCTGCTGAACCTCTGGTGTAGCTCGAAATCCAAAGTGCAGACATGTCTGGGGCTTTAATTTAGGCATCTGTTAGCAATGAGACTCAGTGTCTGTAGGCTAGAAACATTAGGTTCAGGGCAGAAAAAAAAAAGTGAGTAAACAGGTCATCAATGTGTTAAGAGAACACCTGCTTTACCTGTTTCCTATGGTTAACTGGATTTTCAGACTTCAAGCTTTGAACCCCTTACATATTTATTGTATGCGCCTCGGCAGCCAGAGTCAACTCCTCTTATTTTCATAACTTCTCCCATCCTATTCAGTCAGACTAATTTTTGTTTTATCTTTAAGGTGGGCTTTATGTATGTAGCCCTTGTCCTAGAACTATCTCGACTAATTGGCTTCATGCTTACAGAGATCCACTTGCTTCAGCCTCTTTAGCGCTCCGATTAAAGGTGTGTGCCAGCAAGCCAAGTCCACCAGACTAACCTTAGTATTAGGTTTTAAAAACCATTTTTTAGCTTTAATCCCAAGGAAGGTCCTGGTATTGCTGGATGCTTGTTTAGCATTAAATTGGTCGTGAGGCTTAGCCTTTGACCTAATTTTTCACAGATTGAATAAGCATTAATCTATTCTTGCAAGGCTCAGTTGTAATACCTCACTGTTACAGAAACAGTCTATTCAGGCTTATCTATCATGGGGTTAATATTTCATCTTTATCCTTTATTGGTAGTCTTTCTTATGTGCAATTTCTTCTTTGAAGTAGTATGGAAATATCAAATTATTATTAAAGAATGCTTAAAAAAAAGCATGGGCCACCTTCATCCTGCAACAGAGGGTATGTGAGTGAAGATCCACACCTTTAGGCCCATCTTCATGTGTGTGAGTGTGAGTGTGTGTGTGAGTGAGTGTGTGTGTATGTGAGTGTGTGAGAGAGACATTGTGTGTGAGAGAGTGTGTGAGTGAGTGTGTGTGTATGTGAGTGTGTGTGAGAGAGACAGTGTGTGTGAGAGAGAGTGTGTGTGTGTGAGTATGTGTGTGTTTGTGAGAGACTGTGTGTGCCTGTGTGTGAGAGAGACAGACACAGAGAGACGGAGTGTGTGTGTGTGAGTGAGTGTGTGAGTGAGTGTGTGAGTATGTGAGTGTGTGAGAGACAGTGCATGTGTGTGAGTGTGTGTGAGAGAGACAGAGTGTGTGTGTGTGAAAAAGACTGTGTGAGAGAGAGAGACAGACAGGGTGTGTGTGTGTGAGAGAGACAGACAGGGTGTGTGTGAGAGAGACAGAGAGACAGTGTATGTGTGAGAGACAGAGACAGAGTGTATGTGTGAGTGTGTGAGTGTGTGTGAGAGATAGTGTGAGAGTGAGTGTGAGTGTGTATGTGAGTGTGTGAGTGTGAGAGAGAGTGTGAGAGTGTGAGTGTGTGTGAGAGAGAGGCAGAGACAGAGTGTGTGAGAGAGACAGAGACAGAGAGTATGTGTGTGTGAGTGTGTATGTGAGTGTGTGTGAGAGACAGTGTGAGAGAGTGTGAGTGTGTGGGAGAGAGTATGTGTGAGAGAGAGTGTGTGTGAGAGAGAGAGGCAGAGAGAGACAGACAGAGTGTGTGTGTATGTGAGTGTGTGTGAGAGAGATAGTGTGAGAGAGTGTGTGTGAGTCTGTGTATGAGAGT